TGGGGCGGGGCTTCCTTGGAGTTCGCGGGGACTGGCCTCGGCGCGGCCCCGCCCTTCCCGCCAAACCGCGAGGGTCCGGCGCCACCGTCGGGGTTGCAGCGCGGGGACGGGGGCGCGGCCCCTCAGGCCTCGTCGCTGAAAGAGGCCGCGCCGGCTGTGCCAGCGGCGCCCGCTCCCCGGAGCCGCTCGTCCTCTCGGTCTCTGTCGCCGGTCAGACTCCGGTGGAGGCCTCCTGCGCCCAGGCTCACGGACGCGCAGCTCGGCCTTCTCAACGCCGGTCAGCCCCGGGCGCTGTCCCAGCGGGGCCAGTGCGGGCCCGGACGGGCCTCTGCCTGCTCGGCTCGCCCGCTCCTGCATCAGAGGACCCTGCCCCGTGCGCGGCCCCGTGCTGGGCTCCGACCTCAGCCCAGCGGGCGGGAGTCCGCAAGCAGAAGGGGCCGACCGGCAGCCAGGGTGCGGTCGGCACCTCGGGCCTGCGGACGCTGATAAGGCCCCACCGACGGCGCGGCTGCCTAGCGCCGGGGGCCTGGCCCGCAGAGGCTGGAGGAAGGAGTACCAGTCACCTTCTCGACCAGGCCACCGGCCGTGACCTGAAGGCTGGCCCAGACACGGGACCAGCACCTCCCCACCCTGTCCTCCCTGTTGTCTCCTCTGAGCCCCAAAGGCCCGGGAGACAGACCGGCAGAGCTTCCTGCTCCCTAAATACCCGTGGAAAGCTGAGGCCCAGGACTGGGCGGCGGAGCAGGGAGGAGCCCGGGCCTCCCTCCCAGCAGGGCCCCGGCTGTGGCCACGGGAGGATCGGGGACCATCTCTGGGGATAGTGGCGGCCTCCACACTTCCGTCTCGCTCACATCTGCCACTGGCACCCGCAACAAGGCCTGGCCGCAGGGCTGTCAGGGGGGCTTGCTGGAGGGAAGGAGGGAGGTGCCCAAGACCATGAGCATGTTCAGTGGAGACAGAAGGTACAGAAAAGACCAAATCGTCGCCGAGACGTCAAGCACAGCCTAGGAATGCAGTCTAACTTATGTAAGGGTCCGATGGGGGTGAGATATATCAGGACCATCGCTTCAAAAGTTCCGTGAAATCTAATCGCTGTATTGTACACCTGAAACGAAAAACTGTATGTCCACTGTAATCAGGAAACATTTTTATTTTTAAGGCCAAATCAAACTTCTAAAGGTGAAAAATACAATGTCAGAACTGAAAAACACACTGGCTGAACAGCGGGTTAGACACAGCAGAAGAAAGTGAAGTAGGAGACGGACAAGAAACTGAGCCCTGACCAGTGTGGCTCAGTGGATAGAGTGTCGGCCTGCGGACTGAAGAGTCCCGGGTTCGATTCCGGTCAGGGGCATGTTCCTTGGTTGCGGGCACATCCCCAGTAGAGGGTGTGCAGGAGGCAGGTGATCGATGTTCCTAACTCTCTATCCCTCTTCCTTCCTCTCTGTAAAAAATCAATGATATATTTTTTAAAAAACTAAATGAAACATGGAGAGAAGAGTCCAGAAAAGAAAGAACAGAGCTCCAGTAGCACAACTTCAAGAGGCCAAATATGTGTGTAATCAGAGCCCCTGACCAGGGAGGCGGAGTTGGGAGGAGGACAGATACACTATTTGGAGCTATAACGGCTGAAGGTGTTTTGTTTTGAAGTTTGATGAAAAGCACAAATCCAGGTAACTGGTTTGCTACTGGGCTCTGGTACAAATGGAATGTTTCTACGGGCCATCGAAAGTGAGGCCGGAACTGCCATCACTGGGTTCCATCAGACCGCCGCCACATCCCGTCGGTAGATACACCATCATCTGGAAGTGGTAGATCCAGGACTGAGTTCAGGCAGGTGCCGAGGTAGGTGGTCCAGTCCCACGTCACCTGCCACCATCGCACCAGTATCTGTCGGCACCTGTGGTCTCGGGGATTCCCCGTGACCGTGACTCCATCGGGCAGTGTTTTCCGGGCGGAGGGATGGGCCTGCCAGCACGGAGGCAGAGCTGGATACAGGGGAGTCGCCCTCGAGGGGATCACACTGCTGGGTCGCGGCCAGAGACAGAGGCGGTGGCCCTCCCCTCGCTGGTCCTCTAGACACAGATTTGATTCAGATGCCAGCTGTGCCCCGTACTCCTGTGTGGCGTGTGTCCTCTGGGTCTCCCCTCCACAGGCCAGGCTCAGTGAGCACCGAGCAAGAAGCCCAGGCCCCAGGCCTTTTCCTCCCTGGGGCCCTGTCAGAGCCACCCATTCCCGGTAAGGTACCGGAAGCCCTTCCTTGGACCAGCAGGGGGCGCCCACACATTGTGACCCAGAGGAAGGGGGAGACTAGGGGCTACTAAAGACTTGCTTTGTGAGGTCTCTTCTGGTTCTAAAAACATCTTTTTATAATAAAAAGTCTCTAATAACAGAAGATGTAGCGGTTCACTGCACTCTCTCACCAACTGCAGGAAAAGTAAAACCAGGTCGGCCCGGGGCTTGGAGAAGCTTCCCAGCCCAGTGTGCACCCCATCTCTGAGCACACCAGGATCTGGGCACCCCGCAGTAACTATCAGAGGCCATGAGGGGTGGTGGGGAGCTAGCCAGAGCGTAGGCTCTGGGCTAAGAGGTGGAAGAAGATCACGTAGCAGAGTTGGAACTTGAATCCAGACCTTGGCCTCAATTTCTCACCTGTAAAATGGAACTAACAGCAGCTGCTTCTCCAAGCAAACCAGACTGTCAAGGGCCCAGCTCAGCGCCTGGAGCACAGGAAGTGCTCACTAGGTGGTACAGAACATTCAGGGCAGGTCTCAGGAGGGAGTGGCACTGTCTGCCTGGCTTCATGCTGGAGGACCATGCCTGGGATCCCATCTGCCACCCGCAACGCACACACTCTTGCAACTGAGGCCCTGGGCCCAGGAATAGTTCACAAAGAGGCAGACCCAGGGCCTGGGAGGAGCGAGGCCTCATCTGTCCTGGCAGCTAGGAGTTCCTATCACGTGGCTCTGGGCCCCAGAACCTCAAAAATCTTCCAGCTCAGGGTCTTCAAATGCTTCCCCCACTAAGCTGTCTCCGAAGTGGCTGCATGTCAGCTAAAAGCTATAGCATCCTGGGTCCTGCCTCACATCACCAGCATGGAGGACCCTGGGTACCGGCTGGAAGCTGTTCTCTGACCCAAGTCCCCATTTTAAAGTTTTACACGTGCCGGGACGGTGTGGCTCAGTGGTTGAACATCAGCCCCTGAACCAGGAAGTCATGGTTCGATTCCTGGTCAGGGCATATGCCCAGTTTGTGGGCTTGATCCCCAGTGGGGAGTGTGCAGGAGGCAGCTGATCAGTGTTTCATCAATGTTTCTATCTCCCTCTCCCTTCCTCTCTCTAAAATCAATAAAAACATATTTTAAAAAATTGTATAGGAAGGGACGTTGCAGCCACAGTGGAGAGCGATGTGCCTCACTGGGTTCCCCAAACAAGTGCAGGGCAGAGGGCAGAGGGCAGAGGGCTGTGACTGCAGGCACAAGGATTGGTTTTCCAGAGCTGCTGCAGGACATGGGAAGTCCCTGTCCCAGTGCCCCAGACTGGATGGTAACTGCACCAAGCCTCATCCCAGGAGGCCTTAGAGGAAACATCTGCAGACAGCGGGACACTTGGTTCCTGGAAGCAGATGGCCACTGTCGCCCCTGCACCCCCCAGCACCCCGGGGTCGCGGCCTCGCGCATCAGCTGACCAGCTTCACCTCTTCCCCTTCTCCAGCCGACCACCCCACCCCAGAACACGTCCAGGGGGAGGAGTCCAAAGAGCCTCCTCCAGGGGACAGCGGGCACAGTGCTGTTCGGGGTCTGGGCTTTACACAGCGAATGCCTTTCCCCAGCTTAGAGTGCAGCGAGGATTAGATGATCCTGGGGCCCCTGCCAGCCCTGACCCCCAGCTGAGGCTGCTTCCCACACAAATAGATGCCGACTGGCTGACCTGCCAGGGAGGCGCCGGCTGGAATTCCACGGCAGGAAGCGAGGGATGGATCCGGGCTGGCCCATCCCCGTGTGGCCCGGAGGACTCAGCCATCCGGGTGCCACCACCCCCACCTACCCTTGGCCCACTCAGGGCCCTCTCTGCCTGCCCCTCTGTCTGTAGTGGTCACTTCCCCCTACAGGTCTTCCTGGAGCCCCAGCAGAGCCTGGCACGTGGAGGGTGGGCGGAGCCGGACGGCTGAGCTCGCGTTCCATCCACTACTGCCTGCGAACTGGGCAGGTCATTCAGCACCTGCGCCCGGAGGTGGGGAGACCCCCTGGATGTCGGTGTGGGTCCTCAATAGGGCCGGCCACCCCTCCTTGCCAATGAAGCCCGACCACCGCGGCAAGGGTCACCTGTGCTTTATTGTGCAGCAAAGGCCCCTGCAGGAGCCGGGTCTTAGCGTTCCTGGGGGTCCTGGGGCCAGCCCCTGCCCCCACCCAAATGCCCAAGCCCTGCCCAGCCCCCTGCCCAGTGCAGGGTGGGTGCGCTGGGGGGACCGGAATTCCTGTCCGTGAAGCGCAGGCAGGCCTTTGTCCAGGGACCCCGGGCTCCTGGGAAGTGCGGCGGGGCTGCCGGGGTGGGATACGAGCCTCCAGCCCGCTAGGGACTCTGCCTGCTGGGTGGGGCCTGGCCGGGCAGATTCCACAAGATGTCTGTTGGGGAGGCCTCCATCCAGAGCTCCTCATCCCAGCAGGCCAGTCTCATCGGCACGAGGCGGTGGCCCACGGTCACCTCTGCCAGCAGCTCTGGCGCAGGCGTCACCTGGGCCCAGCGTAGCCGTAGGGGTGCTGCAGCAGCAGGCTCTGGTGGCTGGGCAGCAGGTGGGTGTGGTAGTGCTCCACCAGGCTGCCCACGCTCACAAACAGGACCTCGCCCTCCAGGTAGAATTTAGAGTCCTGGGGGCAGGAGAGCGAGGTCAGGGGGGCTGGGCCAGCTCTCCCCCCTTGCAAAACGGGGCGGCCAGCCCTAAGGACAGGCCTGCTCCCACTGCCCGTTCCCTCCCCTCCATGCCTGCCTCCCTTCCCCCTCCCCCACTTCCCCTACCCTCCGCCCCGCATCACCAGGGGATCAGGCCAGGCTGTAGGTAAGCCGGGTCAGGAGCTGGTCACCCCACCCCCTCTAGCTCACTGAGGACACAGCTAGGCCAGGGAAGGGGAGGCTGAGGCAGTGGGGGAGGGGTGGTGCTGGCAGGTGCCAGCCTCAGCCTGCCCCCTGCCTACACTCTAGGGCAGGGGTGGGGAACCTGGTTTCTGCCAAGGGCCACGTGGATATTTATAACATCATTCGAGGGCGATACAAAACTATCAACTTACACATCAGCCTCTCTATTTGGTCAGACATGTAATTAACTCGCCCCTCATCATCCAGTTTGGCAGGGCCTTATACGGCCCACTGGCCAGTGGAAGTGGCCCATCCGGGCTCTTTGGGGAGACTGTCCGGCCCCCAGCCACGCCCCTTCCCGCTCAGGGCCCTCAGCCAGCCCGCTCACCTTCTCAAAGATGCGGTAGTTCCTCACTTTGTTGGAGGTTTCATCCCACACGACCAAAACCTTGAGGAGAGAAGCAGCAGGCAGGGCTGAGGGCAGCTCTGACCGGAGAGCCGGGCCTCGGGGACCCAGGGTGAGCTGCACCAAGGCCAAGTCCTGGCCTCAGGGACGACGTGGGGAGGGCGCCCTGCCCTGAGATGACCATCTCTGATACACATGGGGAAACTGAGGCTCAGGGAGGTCACACAAGTCGCCCCTGGAGGGGCAGAGGCCGAGCTGGCAGACGACCTGCCGTTGGCCCTGCTCCAAGCAGCCTCCCCTTCAGAGTGCAGGAACCCCCCTCGGAGTCCAGGGCCCCAGCCCCCATTCCGTCTCCGGCCACCCTTCCCCCAATCTGCAGATGGTATCTACTTCCTGAGAATAAATGGGGCGGGGCTGCCAGGCAGAGACCCCAAGGATGGCACTGGGTGGAGGGGCAGAGACTCATGGGAACGTGGCCTGTCGCTTGGTGTGCCCACCCGCAGCCTGACGTGGGGAGGGCCGGCAGACCCAGCACGATGCAGCCAGCCCCAGGGCGTTGGCTTTGGCAGGCTGGCCGCCAGGCTCCTCCGTGGCACCTACCTTCCCGGACTTGGTGGAGGAGTTGCGGATGCAGTAGAGTCCGTCCTGGGGCTCCCCCCGCGGGCTCGTGGCTTTGAACAGCCTGAAAATTAAGTCAGCAGATGACCCATCTTCAGACGGCTCCCTGGGGACCCTCCAGCCCCAGGCCCATGTGACTTTGTCCTCTCGCTCTCCTGCAGCTCAGGCGCCATGAGCAGTGGGTGCAGGGAGCAGTGGGTGCAGGGAGCAGTGGTGCAGGGAGCAGTGGGTGCAGGGAGCAGTGGTGCAGGGAGCAGTGGGTGAAGGGAGCAGTGGGTGAGGGGAGAAGTGGGTGAGGGGAGCAGTGGGTGAGGGGAGCAGTGGGTGAGGGAAGCAGTGGGTGAGGGGAGCAGTGG